TGAACTTTCTGAATGTGAAGTAAATCATGCTGCTGCTGATATATAAATGATTTAGGAAAAAGCAATGAATCAGATTCTCTGTGCTAGTAGCCATGCTACATTAAATGTAATACATAGTAAAACAACAGTTCTTTTACAGTCTAAAACAAACACACAGTATTCTGTGCTAAACTCAGATTCTTGCAAAAATGACTTGTGGCATTTTTGGTTTTAGTATGCTTTACTTTCTAGGTTACTGGCATGTTACCAGGTAGTTTAGAACTATTGAGCTGATATAAATTCCTTGCCTTTTTCTTGTCAAGAGCCACTGATTATTCTTCTAGACTGCTTATTACTATTTTAATTGGTTTGTCTTTAAATAATTTTAACTTGTAAGTACAGTTGGATAAGTCTCAAATACCTGCAGATGAAGTTTAGGGTTTTGCACAGATAATTGAACTTCAATATCTGTAAAACATCCACTATAACCATGAATAGGCCCATTCTCTCTTCTGGTAGGTTTTTTGCAGATACTAGACTTACACCAAATTATCTTTGTAGCCTTCGTATACAGATGACTATGATATTCTTTGCTCTCCTTTTCCATGCTATGAAATGAATGGGATAATTTATCCTTCTTGGACAGAGAGAGAAGAATTGTAATGAAAGCTTTATGAGACTTTCTGAAATTCTTCCTGCTGATATCTATTAATAAGTCTTGTCATTCTCTGTCAACGTCTCAGCTTAGCATTTCCCCGGCATAAGTACCTTCAGCAGTAGGGAATTCTGCACAGTCCTCCCAGAGCTTTGTGTATTTTGGAAACTGCTCTGAACTTTTGGATGAGATTTTCAGAGGAATTCAGGTCTCCTTAGGAAGTAGTTGTCAATATTTGCTTAATATTAAGGTTGTGAGAAGGAGCTTGATTACATCTTCCTGGTAGAGGGGGAATATTGAAGCATTTCAGAGCCTGCTGAAAAATAAATCCTGGAGTACTCCTTTGTGAACTTGTATGATTAGACAGTTCTACTAGCAGATGTTAATAGAAAAGAAAAGCCAATTTCATAAATATTTTCTCTTACATAAAAAAGTTATGTTTTTTTTTCTTGCTTTAACTTATTTCAGTATTTATTTTGTTATAAAGAAAAATAAAAGATTTACTTATGAGTCATGAAGTTTAACAGTTAAATTACCTCAAAATCAAACAAATTACCTTGTTTAATTAAACAAATTAATCCCACAAATTCAGTAAATGGTATCAAAATCTGGAATTTGCTGTTGGAAAGCAGGGTTTGAGGTGGACTAAAACTCATCAGTATCACAAAGGAAAAGCAAATCCTCATGACAAGGTAAGTAATATTATTATTTTTAAACTCACCAAGGATATTATTTTATTTTTTCATAACATATACTTGCCAAACATCCAATCATCCAGTTTGTTACTTTATCTTTATTTCATTGTAGATCTTATTTGAGTTTTTTTCTCTCTGAAATCCTGGAGTGAGACTTTACATACAAACTGGTGACAGACAAGGAAGCCTAAGTAAGCTGTCTGCCTTTTTCCTGACGATAGACTTGTGTCCAAAGAGATCATGACAACCTGATAAATTTCAGGTCTGCAGGATCTGAGAAGTTATGTGCTTATGCCACTTAGTACTTGAAAAAGTGAAGAAAGAACTTCATGCACTGAATGAAGGATTTGTGCTTCATATAAATACCGAAACAAATGTGTTCCCTTCAGCTCTTACTGAAGTGGGTCTGTCTTGCCATAAACACAATCATTAATGACCTCCATCCATGTACCATTGATCTTCATGGAAAATTACCTTTTAAAGCAAATGAAGCAGGTCTAGTGGTACTTAAAATCTAGCATCCTGCAGAGAGTGGAATCAGCTTGTCAACAGCCAGTGCCCCAGTGTGAACAGTAATTTTCCTTCCTGTCGGACAAAACAACTGCTTCTCCATTGGGAGAAGGTACACAAATAAGTGTAATGTCCAACGTACGTTATAGAGAGGACAGAATGCCTTCATTCCATGCAAGTAATTTTCAGGAATACAACTTTTACAGGTATCCACTGGAGAAATAGATGGTGGGGCTGTGCAGGATGAGACATTCACAACCACAACCCCAGAAGAAGGGGAGAGTTACCCAAGTGTTACATTCACAGTGTCAGAGCCAGAACTTGGTATAAAATTATACCACAAGAATTTCTGAATGTCAAAAAGCTAAATTGAAGGTTGCAACATATTGTCAAAGCTTTCCAAGTTGTGTTTCACAGCTCATGTCTTTTAGTTCAGAAACTACGGTTTCTCAATTATATGGCAAAGTACAAGTATTCCGAATTTCTTGAAATGTTCAATAATTAAAAGTGCCTTAGTATTTCAGGTCATTTTTGAAGGAAGGAAACTTATTCAAAGTATTGTGCTCATTCTTTGTGTACGCTTTGCTGTCTTTTTATGTGGTGGAAATAGAACAAGTTTAATTGAAGAACTGAGGGATGGGGAGAGTCTCTCATATAACTAGTCAGTCTTAGAAAATAATAACTAAGCAGGAAAATACCTTATTTCCTTGTGAGAACAAGACAATTCCAGTCTCCCAGTGAGTCTGTAATTTGACTTTTTAAAATAATTCTACGGATGCTATAGAGAAAATTCAAAACCAGTTCTAACAACAGTCTTGGCTGAACTAAGGATGCCTTGCATAGCTATTGGAAATCATTATGCTGAAGCTATTCTTATCTCTACATACAGTATCTCTTGGCAACAGGCAACAATTTTGTGCTGTAAATTTCATCTGCAACAATTCTATGTGTGGTGCATAGATGCAGTAAGCAAAAAAAAAAGTTCAATCGCATGTTGATCTTCCTGAGGCAACTTTAGTTGATGAGTTCTGATGAAGAAAAATGCAGATTTGAACATACTTTGTATCACAAAGTGTGTTAAGAACCATTGGTATGATGGTGGAGTCACAGGTAATGTTTGTTTGACTACAGAGGATAGACCTAATGACAAATACCAGTAATCTCGGCTCCTTTTTAGAATTCTCATGTTTTAGGCTCTAAATCAGTCACATAATATCTATGAAATTCTTTTGGTTGCTCTGTCCAAACAGAGTGGGGAAGCTAAATATTGTGCTTCCAGATTATTCCAGATTATGTTTAATTATTCCTTTGATGATTCTTTTCGTGGTCAAACAAGAGAAGGTATGAGGGGAAACTCATCAGTGACCACTGATGTCAGCTATTTGTTGATGTAATTTAAATTCTCTTTCTTAAAGAGTTCTGGATGTGTCAAAAGCATACCATGTTCCACATCCCACTTTTTCTCCCTTATTTATAAAATACAAGCTTCTTTATTTCTTTGGTTGTTGTCAGCAGCCAGAACTAGTGAATTTTGGAGTAAATGGAAAGATTCAGGAATAATTTATTTGACAAAAATTTAAAAAATCTCTCATCAGTTTTGTTGATAATGTCAGCACCTTTGAAAGCAGAGCAGGTTCCACCCTGAATTCTTGATGTTGACAAGCTGTTCAAAATCTGTCCTGTATGAATGAGATGGCTCTTATTCCTGAAATCACTTTTTCATTTTCTGCCTTCAAATTACGTTTGATTTGCTGATGGCTCCATGAAAAACAGAATGGAAGTATTATACAAAAAACTGCAATTGCTGTCAATATGCTGTAAGAATTTAACTACCAAAATAATTTAAAGTTTGCTGTATGTTGGATTAATTTTGACGGTTGTTTCAGTGTTTTTGCAGATTATCGGTTTCAAACTCGCCTGTCTTCTGCCACTACTCTACACCTGGATTATATTTGGGTTATCAAAAACTAATGATGCATGGAAACAGTTTTATAGTTTCTAGGTTATCACAAAATGCATAATCTGCATTATTTCTTAAAATTAAGTGCTATTTGAGCAGTCTAAAATCATTTTAGTATATCATTTTGTCCTTTGCCTGTGGGTGAGAAATCAAGGTCATAGATATCATTTTACTATATCCATTTCCCAAAAAGTCATAGTCATTATTCCGCCTCTGAATTGTTCTTTTTGCTTACAGTTTTCGACAAAAAAAAACAAACCTTTAAATGACTACATACCTTTGTAAATACCTTGTTCCCTGGTTTTCAAACAGATCTGTTTCTGGTATCTGCTGAACAGTTCCGCATACCAACTCCAGAGTATGCAAGTTAGCTAAGCTGCCATTTGGCAAAGCCAAATTCATATTTCATGCATATGTTTTATGACTGTGTGAACATGTGCTGTCTTCTGTTTTCTTTCGTGGGTGCTAAGATTTTTTTGGTTGGTTGGTTGGTGTTTTTGTGGGTGTTTTTTTGCGGGTATTTTTTTGCCATCCAGAGTGATGGCTGTTGCATCTGCTACAGTTGCTTCTGACCTCACTGAGTCTGGCTGGCTTTTATTGCATTCAAGCCATTTTCAGAAAAGGAGTGATGCTAGGTTTACGAGGGAGGTCCAAATGGGTTTGAACTAGAGATTGTCCTTTGCATTCATAGTCAGAGTATAAACTACATAGCATAGAGAGTAAATATCATGAGATAACTGTACACTGAACTTCTCTCTTACCCGTGTAATTCTCACTGTCCTCTTTCCTTTGCTGATCGTGACGCACAAGACAGAAAAGCATCTCTTTAAGGCAACTCTCGGTGACCTGGTCATCTTTCTGGTACCAGTGCTTATGTTTCAGCCTAGGGGCTGAAATTACAGCAAACCTATGCTGTTTTATCCAGCCTTGGAATTAGAAGTTACCTTAAGCCAAATCTACAGTTGCTATCTATATATGGGATGTGTGTAGCCCTAATTTGTTTTTAAAGGTTTGCTTTATTAACATATTAGTATAATATATTTTTAAAAGGATTTCCATTCAAAATTATGTTTCAGATTAGCTGTCTCTGAATGCTTTTGCCTATTATGTTATAAATGGTTTGTTTTTAGGAATATACTTGAAGTTATTTCATTAATTCAGAAGATATGTATATCTTAATTGTTTACTCCTGTTTTTATAGATGGCTATACAACAGATGACATTGAATTTTACTGGCGTGGGGGTGATAATGCAGTCACAGGAGTGACAAAGATTGAACTGCCACAGTTCTCCATTGTAGACTACAAGCTTATCACCAAGAATGTTGTTTTCTCTACAGGTTTGTGGAGGGGAAGCTAAAAGGGGAGTTGACTGGGAAGACTTTCAGAAATGAGTTAATTATTAACATGCAGTTCAGGATCTGAGAAAAAAATATCTTAGAAATAAATTAGGGCAGCAACTGTGAATTTTGAAAGAAGCAGTTTTTATTCCAGCTTCATACTGCAAGGCATCACCCATTAACATATGAAGAGGATACAGTAGTTTGTCATGTTAGGTTCAGTCAAGTAAGCTGTATTTTCTGTTTTCCTATGGAAACTCATTAAGCCTCTTATACACTTCAGTGCCCTAACCCTAGCAAGAAGTGACCCAACCTGTAGGAAACATAGGAACATATCTCTTAGTATTTCTAGATGTTGTTGCTTGGAAACATAGGAACATATCTCTTAGTATTTCTAGATGTTGTTGCTTGTGCCAAGCTGTGGATGTATTAGACTGATTATTTGTCTTTACTGTAAACCCTTTAAAATCTTTGACAGGATTTATAGTTTTGCTTATGCAAGGAAGCATCTGACTTTCTAAAGGCTGACAAGATGCTTTGTGAGGAGGAGTAGCAAATAAGATTGGATTTCATCAAAACAAAACAAAAAACAACAAAACCACAAAAACCAGCAAAACAAGCAACAAGAACAAGTAGAACTTTTCAGTGACATGATAAATTATTCAAGGGAGACCAGAGTTGGGTTGGGCTGTTATTATGTGATATTCTCTATCTCCTTGAGAAAGATGCTAGGTGTGTTTAAAAAAAAAGTAAATCTTCAAAACTCACTTTCTAGGTATAGATAAAAATCATCTTTGAAGGGAGTATAGGAGGATCCCAAATTCTTGAAAACCAAGAAGAAATAGGACTTGGATAGTGATCTTTAGGTACTCCTTTCAACAGGAGTTTCATACACCAAAATATTTCTGGTGTTCAGTGCCAAAGGCAAGTGCTGTGTTGCTTGGAGAGAAGGTTGGAATAAGGGTTACACTGAAGTAGGCATACTGCTGCTTGGCACTGAAAAACACTGGTATGCTTTGATGCTCCAAAATGTATTTTGATTGTTGTTGAATATTATGGTTACCAGCAGAAACACATCTGGAGCATATTTGTACCCTCAGAATAAAAGATTATTTAATCCCAGTTCTTGCTAGAAATTCTGCATCTGATTATTCTGGATTTTTCAACTGTCTGTGTACTCTTATGTTGCATGAAACAGTCAAACCAAAATGACAGAAGAATGTTTCAGGCTTTATACAAGTAAATTATGGCTGTACCAAATATTCTCTTTTAGGTGCCTACCCAAGGCTGTCTCTGAGCTTTAAACTTAAGAGAAACATTGGTTACTTCATTCTGCAGACCTACATGCCTTCTATTCTGATCACTATCCTGTCCTGGGTTTCCTTCTGGATTAATTATGATGCTTCAGCTGCCAGAGTTGCTTTAGGTAGGCATTTTTACACATGTCAACTGAATGCTTTTTCTTGCTTCTGGCTTAGTGGATAGTACATGATTTGAAAAATAGATCTTAGATCTTTTTATGTCTGGCTTGTTTAGCTTTGTGTTATTTGAATCAGGATTTAAATCATCACAATTTAAATAAAAATTAAAGTGATTTCATGTCTGAATTAGCTAACTGTATAATCATTGTAACCAGAATTAGCCTAATTGTCTCAACGTCTTTTGTTGATTTACTGCTTGGTTTTTTCTCCAAAGAGAATGCATTTAGTTTGCTTTTGCCCATGGCAGTCCAGAATACACATTCAGCACTGTGTTATGAGTTATAAATTTCTTTTCCTCTCAGGTATGAATTAAATAAAGTTTTACTAGGGTTGTACAGCTAACATCTTCTCAAGTTGAGGGCTTTCTTTCCATACTGTTACCTTACATTCTAAAGGGAAACCTAATTAAACTCTATAGTACTTATGTCACTAATCCCATGTGTGCTTGTTTATGTCCTCATCAGAAAATCCAAGCATGTTACGAAACTAAATCAGTATCTGTTACCAAATTTTGTATAAATCAGACCAATTCCTGCCAGTACAGGTCTCATATAGATAAAATAAATGAATCACTTTAAAAGATAAAGTTAAGAATGTGACATTTTAACTTTACAGAACACTGTCTGAGTTTTACCAGTCCTGCGTAGATTTTCCTATAAGAATTCAGGACTGCAGACATTGCAAAAATGCTGGTGAAAAGCAAGATAACAGTGACTCTAGGCTAGTAATTCATAGCAGAGACTCATTAAAGCTTACAGTTCAGCTGGTTAAAGACATACTCATAGAATCCAACTACCATTTGTCTGATTGAACACAATTATTTAGAGCTATAATTTTCTTTGCTGTACAAAATATTAAAGACAAAGATAAGGAACTGTTGTGGTTGGAGGTTGTTGAGTATTAGAGGTTGGAGGTGGGCTTTTATCTAGCAGGAAAAAAACCACAGAATTTTTCAGCTTAAGCAGTTGAATATTATGAAATATTGTACTAGAAAATTAAAATTAATTCAATCAATAGACATGTCCTTTTTTTTTTTTTTCCAGGAATCACAACTGTGCTCACAATGACAACAATTAACACCCATCTTCGAGAGACTCTTCCAAAAATTCCATATGTGAAAGCCATTGACATGTATCTTATGGGATGTTTTGTCTTTGTTTTCATGGCTCTGCTGGAGTATGCATTGGTCAACTACATCTTCTTTGGCAGGGGACCACAACGCCAAAAGAAAGCTGCAGAAAAAGCTGCCAGTGCCAACAATGAGAAGCTGCGGATGGATGTCAATAAGGTAAACTGAAACAGGAATGTGTTTTTAGCATTGCCCCGGGAAAGCAGTCTTTCACTTCCTCCAGACAGAGCCTTATATATATATATATATATATATATATATATATATATAATTTCTTGTAGAAAATGAATAGAGTGGGATTATTACCTTGTTTTCACTCTGCTGAGCAGTGTACTTAGCCACCTCAGCAATGAATGCTGCCCTCTAGCCTGGAAAACAGAACTACTTTTTTCTAAAGCATGAACTCAGTTAAACTTTATTGTGAGATGTTTTTTTTCAGTCAGGATGTAGAGTTAAATATGTCTAATCTGTTTCCAGAGGAACAAATCCAAAATGATGGCTGTAGCTGATATTCTAGTAAGAGCTGTATGGAACATTGGAAATAAATTTAACCTACTTCATAAATCTTTCAGATGACCTGGATAAGAAATATTTGCTACAGAAGTGTTTAAAGCTTGAAAAGTTTGCATACTTTCAATGTATAATGGCCCAGGATACTATTGACTAAATGAGAAGCTGCTCAGAAACTGTAGTGGTGTAAGTGCAGTCAATAACTCAGATCCATGCAGCCCACTCGCTCTCTCTGCCCTTCCCCCACCCCCCCCCCCCAAAGGATAATCGAAAGAATGTAATCCCCACAGGTTGAGATAATAAGAGTCCAGTAACCAAGGATCACTACTGCTACCATCAATAATAATAATGATAAGGGAAACAACAAGGGAACAGAATACAGTACCACCCATCGATACCCAGACCAACCGATCAGTGAAGTAGCCCTTCCGGGCAACTCCCAATTTACCTCCTGGGCATGATGTGCTGTGGTATGAAATACCCCTTTGGTTAGTTTGGGTCAGGTGTCCTGTCTCTGCTTCCTCCCAGCTTCCCCTCCTCCCTGGCAGAGTGTGAGACTCAGAAAGTCCTTGGTCAGACTAAACATTTGAGCAGTAACTTAAAACATCAGTGTTATCAACACTGTTCCCAGGCCAAAAGTCAAAAACACAGCGCTGCACCAGCTACTAAGAAGGAGAAAAATGACTGCTACTGCAGAACGCAGGGCAGAAATAAAACATCAATGTGCTGTGCACTTAATTTTAAATCTAAAAATGGTTCCCTGGGGATTGAGAATTGAGGCAGAAAATACATTTGCCAAGAAACACACTTTTGGAAAAAGTATCCATTATGCTTAATGACAATGGAGCACTTATAAAGCACTTGTCATTTTTCACTTTGACCATCTTGGATGAGTTGCACACAGTGGCAAATCTGGGCTGACTGCTAAAACGTACTCAGTGTGAAATGTATTAACTTTCACATACAGGCAAAATTGGAGAGTTAAATAAAGTCAATTTAGTTTGTTTGTTTTGTTGGGTTTTTTTGGCATGGAAAGTTTTTTGAATTTATAATTCAACATGATTACTCCAATGGGAACAAAACAACTCAGAATTAAAAGAAAAAGTCTAAATCAGGAAGAAACCAAATGATTACAAGTAATTATTTGTGAAGAGAAAACCTAGGTTTCATACAGCTCTACTAGTGGAATTTCTCATGTTTTTTCAGAACTTCTGCATTACCACAGTGTGCCTGCAGACAGAAACATTTTGTTCCAGTTTTGCTGGAACAGCAATAATCCATCACATGTTGATAGCATAAAACAGTTTTATAGGTTATAATTTATAGTCTTTTAAGATGAAGGATTATATTGTCATGGCTCACATCTCACTCATCCATTAATTTATTTTCTTTTTAATTTGAGAGAAATGTTTTAATGAATGAAGGCAAATGCATAATGATGAGATTAATTTTGATGTTCTGGTACCATAGATCATCATTTACCATTGTAAAGTTCATGAAGACACTGTGAAATTTTTTTCTGTCTGTTGGTGATTTTTCAGCAATGTAAAAAATGCTGCAAGCTTTAATTTAATTTGTAAAGTTTATTTTTTTTAAGCAGTATTCCTTCAAACAATCAAGGCTATTAAGTAAGAAACTCTGTATGTAGTTTATGAAACTAGATCTGCATTTACCTGAAGTCTTTCCTCTCATATCAATGGAAATTTAAGGTCCACAGGTGTCAGGGTGTCACCAGTAACTGAGGTACATTTTTTGTATACCATTTCATTTATATTTTCTATATACTTACTCATACAATAGCTCTTTTAGCCATGTAACAGAATAGCCAAAACCTAGTGGCAAATCACTAATCATGAACTAGAATCTGAAAGCACTAACTAGTGCAGTAATCCAATCCAGTCAGCAGAGTAAAATAATTCCAATAACCGTTGCAAAACCTCACCAGCCTACAGGATTAACCCAGTGTTCTTGGAACAACTTTACATCATTCGAATTTTTTTATACTGAGCTGTTTGTTTGTATACCAGGCCAGCATGGTTCATAGTCTAGGGCAGTTCTGCTCTGATACCCAGATAGACTCTGATCTAATAATCAGGTTTGTAATCCCTTAAATAATAGATAGAGAATCAAAAAGGAGAGGATGAGAGAACAGTAGTGATCAGAGAATCTGTCCTACTGCTCATAGGCTGCTCTGGGGAGGAGGCAAGGAGCTGACAGCTATTCTTTCTGTTTGACCAGCAGCAAGAAAACAGATTCATATTTAATGGACCTGAATCTTTGGTCTATGAAAGGGGGACAAATATTATATAATTATTTTAATGTACAAGAAACAGAAATGGGCTTGAAATGCTGAATTTGGTTCAGATGCAGGTTTCCATAAAACCCTAAGTGTTTTAGAAATGGGACCAACCAAATACTTCATCTCTAATTAAGATCTAACACCAAAGGCTTAATTTTATGAACTATAAGTGGTTTTTTTTGTGATATTACTAGATTCCTTTTATATCAGTACATGGAATTTTATGAATTTATCAGAATCAAATGTCATGTGAGAAAGGATTAATGACATGAGTAATAAGCCTCAAAACATGAGGATGAAAACTTCTGTACAGCTCTGTTATTGCATAGACATTGTAAAAAAGGTGGATAAATACTTCTTGGAATTGCTGCTTGTAGTGCAACATCTTTGTTTATACATTATAGGTCAGCAAATCTGTAATAGATCTCTTCAGATTCTAGCCAGCACCCTTTTTTTTTTGGTAACAGCCTCTTACAACTTCTTAAACAAACGGTGGTGAGAAGTGCTGGTTAGTCCTTGCATCGACAGGTACTTACAAAATTGAAGTAGAAGTTAATACAAACTCTATTTATGCTGTCAACTTCTCTGGCATTGAGAGATTTCAGGGCAGGTACAGACATTGGTAATCTCTATTTTTGCTCAGTGTTATTCAGAAGATACTAAAGAGCCTATAAAACAGGAGCCTATAAAACAGAACGGAAACACAACAAACAGAAGCTGTTCTTCCATGACTGGTATCTGCTGAATTCAGTGTAATCCCTTGGAGATCTGGTGATGCAGAAGGAGAATGTCCTGTTTCTTCCATTTGAGAAAATACAACCATGCTGACTGCAGAACTTCCCCTGAGTTATTCCAGATGAAACTGTGGCCAAATCTTTCTTTAGTTTTCATATATCATATGCCCAGTATGGTCATTTTGGTTTTGTTTTGCTTTTTTTTTTTTTTTTTTGCAAATTGTAGTATGGTTTGGATTGGAAGGGATTTTTAGGGTCATCTAGACCAATCTGCCTGCAGTAAGCAGGGATATTTTTAACTAGCTCAGGTCCCCATCTAACCTGACCTTGAACGTTTCAAGGAATGGGACATCTACCACCTCTCTGGGCAATGTGTTCCACCGTTTCACCACTCTTACAGTATAAAATTTCTTCCTTGTATCTGGTGTGAGTCATCACAGAAGATCGTAACTTCATCTACTCCCTCATTGTCAAAGGTTGTTGGCTCTGTTTGGAATAATGGAAGGAACAGAAAGGATTTGGCCTGGTTTACTTCTTGAATTCTGAAACACAAGTAATAAAGTCATAGAGAAATTTAAGGACACAAAACTCAAGGAAGTTTCAGATTCAGTTACCAGCAGATACGTTATCACAGACTTGTTAAATCAAATTTGACTTGCTTAATTTTCTATGCAGTGACTTCAGGTTAAAATGGCTGTGTGCATGATCGTTTCACTCTTGAAGCTTTTCCCAGGCTGCATTCAGCAGTTCATTCCTTTGGTCTAACTCAGCATCTTTTGCCTCTTCTCTCTGTAAACAGATGTATTGTTGTTTACAGATAAATTACTGGCTTTCTTCCTACTCCTATAGCATTCACATAATTTCCCCACCTCTCTTTGCAAGCCTATTATTGTCTTACCTTACACTTTTTCTTCAAATGCCTTTATTGTCTTTATAGTCTCAAGACTTTGAATTTCTTCTGTTCTAAATGGCATAGCACTGCAAGTGTATAGATAAGGATAGGTAAACTAGTAGTGTTGTATGTGTAGTATATATAACCCATTGTTATGCAGTTTTATTCTGTCAACTTTTCTATTTTAAAAAGGAATGTTGATGGTTGTCAGCATCCTTTTGATCATTTGTAGGCACATTTCATGCTGTCTTTTCCTGTGCTTAGGACACTAATACATTGTCTGTTCTTCTTCCAGCTGGTTATCAGATACGTTAAAAAATAGGGCCAAATTCTAACCTCTGGCTTCACCATATCATTCAGCTGTCTTTCTGTGAGTAATTGTACATATATCCTGGACATATCAACTCACTAGTTTTAAGATAATGTATCAAAGGCTTTACTGAAATGCATAGCTTTCATCTGTTAATTCTGTAATTACATAAAAATGGTCTGGAAGGATTTGGTCTAGAAGCCTCTATGAAGCTTCCTTCTTTCTAATTGTAATTTTGGTTTCTGTTTCTCCTTGGGAGACAAGAGGGCAGGAGGAGAGAAACAAGCTACTGTGGTATAACCTTTCAAGTTTTCTCCTTTATGAAGCCTGGCTTTGTGTTCAAGGAGATGATTAGCCTAACCAGGATCTCAATCTAGAGGCTGGTACAACTGCGAATAATTTCTGAGGTAAACC